AGTTGTTGTTTGTTCCACTAACAGTAGTTGTTGTTGTTTGTTCCACTAACAGTAGTTGTGTGTTCCACTAACAGTAGTCGTTCTTTGTTCCACTAACAGTAGTTGTTGTTTGTTCCACTGACAGTAGTTGTTTGTTCCACTAACAGTAGTTGTTGTTGTTTGTTCCACTAACAGTAGTTGTTGTTTGTTCCACTAACAGTAGTCGTTCTTTGTTCCACTAACAGTAGTCGTTGTTTGTTCCACCGACAGTAGTTGTTGTTTGTTCCACTAACAGTAGTTGTTGTTTGTTCCACTAACAGTAGTTGTTGTTTGTTCCACTAACAGTAGTTGTTGTTTGTTCCACTGACAGTAGTTGTTTGTTCCACTAACAGTTGTTGTTTGTTCCACTAACAGTAGTTGTTGTTTGTTCCACTAACAGTAGTTGTTTGTTCCACTAACAGTAGTTGTTGTTGTTTGTTCCACTAACAGTAGTTGTTGTTTGTTCCACTAACAGTAGTTATTGTTTGTTCCACTAACAGTAGTTGTTTGTTCCACTAACAGTAGTTGTTGTTTGTTCCACTGACAGACTCAGGTTGTTATTGTCAGTGTCTGACAGCATTATGGAAAGGATCCCTACAGAGATAGACCTTTAGTTTAACCACAAACAGCCGTAATATCACTATCACTCTCCACCAGACTCCAGAGACAGAAACACTCATTTTACCTTCAGATCATTGTAACTTCATTCAAAGTGGAGAAAAAGAAAATAAAACTCACCAAAACCGTCTTTGTTAGTGTTTCCAATGATCACCAATGCAGATTTGGTCAAAAAGAAACTCAAAGTTTTTTTGTTCTTCAGTCGGACATTCAAACTGTTCTGCAGTTGTCCAGCAGAGGGCAGCAGAGCTGCCATCTACAGTACATACACACACTTTCTCACATAACAGAAGGTCTTCATCCCTCCATCTCCTGGCTGACAGGACGTTTCCATAACGCAATTTCACAGCTGTAAACTACCTGACATACACACACACATTGTAATTACAATGGGGTAAAGGAAATCTGACAGGTAGACGAGACTAAAGAGGAAATCCAGCAGATTAACGAGAAGGAAAGAGAGCGAAAAGACAGATGTTAGGAGAGAAAGATGGAGAGAAAGCAGCCAAAAAGGAGAGAAATAGATAAAAGGAGAAGGAGAGATAAACACAGAGAGGAAAAGACAAAAGTGTGACATTGACTGAAAGAGAGAAAGAGAAAGAGAGCGACGGAGGAAGTGAAGAGAAAAGTGAGGTGGAGAGGCTTTAAAAGGGAATATAACTCCTTTAATCTCTTGGTCTCTCTCCTGCAGCCTCGGGCGAGCCTCCAGCACACTCCCCCTCTCTCTCTCTTCCTCTCCTCTCCTTCATTAGTGGGCGATCAGAGAGTGGGTGATTTAATGGAGGAGTAAAACCTCAAACCTCTACCTGCAAGATGGAGAGACACAGAGGAAGGTTGAACAGATGGACTCGAGACGTTTTATGATCTGAGGCTTGTTTTTCGGTCTCTGGTCTCGACCGAGTCTAGTTAGCAGGTTTAATTTATTACAATGAGTTTTGTACCTGCAGAGAATTATCAGCTCCCGTTTAAGGAGCTTTAAAGTGAGTTTCTGCTCATTGTTTATCTGTTTTGATTCACTCTCAGCGCTCTCATGGTGTCGCTTTCAAGCTGTAAAAAGCCTCAAACAGCAGACAGACACAGTCACCGAGCAGCAGCCTTAAAACTACAGTTCCTCTCGTGGCCACTAGAGGCTGGCTCCAGCAGTGAGTCAGTCTCCATAAGGCCCCATATTAAAATGTCCAAATCTACAGCTGAAATAAACATGTTTACAACCTTTTGGTCTCTGTATGGTATACAACTCACTAGTTTAAATTATATTAAGGATTAAAGTTATGCATAATTAAGAGCGTGGCCGCATTGAGCCACAGGCTCTTTAGAAACCTATAGGGGACGCCACAGAGGCTACGGCCATATTTAAATATACAGTGTATGTTAGAGACCAGCTGGTGAACACAACAGGCAAAACTAATCCCTAATCCCAGAGTTTACACTTTACTTTAGCTCTTTAGTGATAATGTAAACTATTTAGTTTATTTGCTGAGTTAGTAGCGCAGCTCCGGACCACGGAAGCTAAACTATTAGCTACTGTAGAAAGGTAGTTGATTGTTGACTCTTATTCCCAAATCATTCAATACAGACGCTTCAAGTCCCAAAGCTGCAATCCACCATCCTAATGCCGATATCTGACAATTAGGAATGATCAACTATCTTTCTCGTCTCTGATTGGTTGTTTTCATTCGGGTCTGATGCGTTCTTGCCATTAGGAGCACTAGGAGAAGCCAGAGGAACCTGATTCTCTCATAATACTGTCAACTAAATAAATACAGGGCAATTAGAAGTAGATATGGTCAAGCAGTTGGAGGTACCAGAGTGGAAATAGAGATCAGATGAGATTTCACGTTTAAATTTTCTTATATTAGTGTGAATTATTAAAGTAATTGAACAAAAAGAGAGAAATGAGACACAAATTAGATCCTGGATGGATCGACTTTCTATGTTTGTGAACTTTACTGCACCTTTAATGCTCTTATTTTATTGTCATTTTATTGGATTCCGTTTTATTTCGCTCTTGTGAAGCACTTAAATATGAAATATATAAAAATAATATGTATTATTATTATATTTATTGAATGGTATTTAATGTCCCTACGAGTTGTGAACGTCAGCTGAGATTATGGTGCCCTGTGTGAGGCAGCCTGCTGCAGTAATACAGCCGTGTGTGTGTGTGTGTGTGTGTGTGTGTGTGTGTGTGTGTGTGTGTGTGTGTGTGTGTGTGTGTGTGTCCTCGTCCATTGGACATGCTGATACACTGAGCTGCTCTCTGAGGACCTGCAGTCATCTGAACAGGCAGCACTGTGTGTGTGTGTGTGTGTGTGTGTGTGTGTGCATTCATTGTGTCGTTATTTACTCTGCCGTACAAACAAAGCAAGGTCACATTCAAGGTGACGTGATCTCACCATCTCTGCCTTAACATGCAAACAAGTTATTTTCCCCTCCATCTCTCCCTCCCTCCCTCTCGCTCTCTCTCTCTCTATGTCCATGTCTCTCACTCTCTCTCTCTCTCTCTCTCTCTCTCTCTCTGAATAGGCAAATAGAGAACGAATGAGCGCCGGCCGCCCGACCAAAGTCAATTACAGCAGCCCTGGGGATGTCGTCTTAAACAATGCTATTAGTTTCTAATAGTTTTTAATTACTGGCCTTCTTTTTATATAAATCACCCCCCTACTTTCTCTCTCTTTCTTCTCTTGTGGAAAAACCTATTTGTGTCCGTAATTAAATGGAGGAGAAGGATATGAATTTAGTGGCCCTCGCTTCTCGTCTCTGACTGTTTCTGTTTGAGCGGCTCCTGATTAATGCCAATACATATTGCTTGAGATAACCATTTAGTGGTTAATTTAGCCAAATTTATTGCCTGCGTGCCGTCGCAGGGCGAAGCAGGGGGTGGGGGGAGGGGTGGTTGTCACCTCCCCGAGGCCACGGAGGGCCCCGTCGCAGTGACACAGCGCTATCTGGTGGAGAGTGGCCGGCACTGCAGCTCCTTCAGGTGTTTGTTATAATCGACCTCTGCTGAAGTTAAATGAGTAAACACACAGTGTGCAAAAGGTAAAGGTACGACGTTATGCTGATGGAAAGCAAACAGTAATGGATTAATTCATTCATGCATATAAACAAGCAATTAATAATAAGTTAAATTATTGTATTTAATGGGAATTAAATTATATATTTTAACAGATTCATTAAATATAAGGATATTGTAGTTACATTCACTCCAACGAATTTCAATATTTGAGAGAAAAAACAAAAAAACGGAGGTAAAAATGTACGTTTAAGTAATTTCAGTCAAAAATCTTCTAAGTTTAAAACATATTTTTAAATCTTTTCTGCTTTCTTATTTGGAAATTTCACTAAAATGATAAATATCATTATTTAAAGGTCAATTTAGGAGGATCTATTGGCAGAAATGTAATATAATATTCATATTCATTTGTGGCACTGAAGAATAGGAATTGCTTGTCATGTTTCTACAGTAGCCCAGAAGGGACAAATCAAACACTGGCTCTACATAAGGGCGATCACAACAACATAACTCATTTTACTGAGTGTTCAGTTGGTGTTCCACTTCAATGATGTAAAGAGACGAGATGAAACGATGGATGGAGAAACTTACTTTCAGATAATATCTGGTCGGTTGGTTTGTTAGCTTTGCTTTCTGTCTGAGATAACAGTAACTCTAGTCTTCCTCATGCATGCTAACGTGCTAACCATTCACATTTTACAGGTTAACATATTAGCATCATCAACATATATAAAGATGGACGACATGACAACTCTCCAAAAGTGAAGCTAAACCCTCTCTCTCGCCCCCTGGTGGCTGACTGCAGTGTAGCTCATATAGTCACTGCCTCCGTGTTAGCAGATGGGACAAAACATTGCTGTATGTGGGATATTTTAACCTCAGTTTTGTACAGTGGGAGGAAGCGGAGACGTGACTTCCATCTTTTATATGTCGATGGTTAGCATGAAGTATGAAAACATGTGATGGAAATAGTGTGTGTTGTCTCAGGCAGATCAGACACACACACAGAGGCTGGCAGTGAGTGTGTGTCTGATTAATGACGGCAGCAGCAGAGCAGCTCTCAGCCAGCTGTCACATGACATCTGATGACTGCCTCTCTCTCTCTCTCACCCATTTTCTCTCTTTCTCTCTCGCCCTCTGTCCAACTCGTCCCTCCTTCGTCCATTCTCTCTCTCTCTCTCTCTCTCTCTCTCTCTCTCGTGATGAACAAGCTGCTCGGTCAGTGTGACGTCCAACAGTCTGGAACAACCCAGAATATCAAACAAAATCCACCATGACATAACAAACCTCTCTCTCTCTCTCTCTCTCTCTCTCTCTGTATGTTCCTATGTCTCTCTCTCTCTCTCAGTGATGAATAAGGGTCAGTGTGTGACCAAGTACTACCGGTGGATCCAGAAGAACAGCGGCTACATCTGGATCCAGTCCAGTGCCACCATCGCCATCAACGCCAAGAACGCCAATGAGAAGAACGTCATCTGGGTCAACTACGTCCTCAGGTCAGAGGTCAACTCAGCTCAGACAGTTTGATTAGATCTGCAAATTCCCAAACTTTAACTTTTATGAATGAAGATATATGAAGTCAGCAGATTAATGAGTGAATACGCACATAAATAAAACTACAAGCAAACAGTAATGGATGAATGAATATATACAAACTAATTAATTAATGAGTTTGATTAATGTATTAAATGGGAATTATATTATAAATCTAAACAAATGCATTAAATGGAAGATTACTGCAGTTACATTCACTGCAATTAATTTGATATTTGAGAGAAAAGACAAAATAACTGAGGTGAACATGTACTTTTAAGTAATTTCAGTCAAAAATCTTTATATTTGATAAGTTTTAAACCTATTTCAGATCTTTTCTGCTTCTTTATTTGTCAATTAGTGTTGCAAAATGACTGAATATCATTTTAAAAAGTCCAGTGTGTAACATTGAGGAGGATCTATTGGCAGAAATGTAATATAATATTCATAAATATGTTTTCAAATGAGAATGAATGTTCATTTTGTTTCTAACTGAAACATGGTTCTGTGTTTGTTCACAGTAATCCAGAGTATAAAGACACGCCCATGGACATCGCCCAGCTGCCCAACCTGCCCGAGAAAACCTCTGAGTCTTCCGAAACGTCTGACTCTGAGTCCGAGTCCAAAGAAAACTCCGGTAGGTGGAATAAAGGAAGGATGAAGAATTAAATGTTTTAGAGAAAACAGAGAAGCAGCAGATTGTCTTTCTAATTTTCCAGTGTTTTTACATAATATTCAGATTAAACTCCCTTTCAAGCACATTTTCAAGTGTTACCAGTATAATAACCAGCAGTAAGAAATACAGCCTGAATAGAAGAAGCCAGAGATATTTTATCAGTTGGTGCCAGTGTGCCGTCAGTGCCAGGCTGGATGGTGATGAACGCCAACAGCTGCAGGGACTGAGCACTCACTGGCAGCGCTGCAAACTGCCACAAAATGACATAAAACACCGCATAACTCTGCAGAACGCCACAAAATACCTCCAAACTTCACACAATGACACTGAACAGCCTCCAAGAGATGCACCAAAACCACACAAATGGTGGCAAAATCCGACTCAAGCTGTTGCTTCTCGATGTTTTATGTCTGTGAAGCCCAGAAATGTCGCTGATGCCAACAACATCACTTGATTAGGTGGCTGTTAAGACCCCTTGAGAGACTTTTGTCTTAGAAAAAAGCACTTTTATGCAGATTTTTTACTTTAGTCTGATATCTGTGGGCTCTCCACACATGAAGGTCCTGTAGACTCCCTTCCCCTTTCCCCCACCAGTCCGGCAACCCTGACTGTGTTCAGTGTGTGAGGGAGATCAGCAGCATGTTGCTAATGCTAACTAGCAAATAAACCCCCAGTGATGACTCCATGGGTACGGCCCTGAATTATCTGGTACAAATGAGAAGCTGCTGTCTACAGGACAAGGGAAAGTGAGGATGAACAGGATAAAAGGTTAATAAACATCATGAAAAGTGACATAAATCAAGTGTTGCTGTTAAATCTCATTAATTCAGTCATTAATTCTCATGCAGCAACAAGCTTTGACAACAAATCTCATTTTTATCTTTAATTTTTTTGTTGTTGTCACTTTTTAATTATTGAAATTAACATTTCAACACAATAACTAACACTGCAGGAACTTTGACCTGATGTGAGCATTCATACAGAAGAATAAATTAGATCTTAAAAACACTGAATTCATATCCAGAAATACAGATCAAGGATTAACTTGCTGCGGGTCGCAGAAATTTCAAGCAGCCAATTCCGCCGAAGACCAAGCTCGCACTCTGCCAGTATAGTTGAATTTAAACCAAAGCGTGGCCTCCACCTTGAGCATAATATTATCAAGTCCTGCAGCCTGTGTTGGCATGATGGGAATCAGTGCCAGCTGTTATTCTTGCTGGAGGAGAATGATTCTGGCATGCTGTCGGCTGTAAACCGGCGCCAGCTGCTGCAGGAGGCGTCCAGCTTCAGCCAGGATCCAACAGGCCCGAGGTGCTCAGGCTCAACATATTCTAAAATGAGATGTCTGACCTTTGACCTTTGTTCTGTTAGGATGCAGAGAGAACACAGGGAGACCTGCCAAAGACTCATTTATTTATTGTTATTTTTTACATCAAAAATATTTTGAATCACTCGAGCACCAAACGTGGATTCATCCGCCACTGGAAATAGTCCCCAACAAATGCACTATTTCCTCCTGTTTGTTTGATAAAACCTACAGTGAGCCGCTGATTTACTGAACCTTTATTTAAAAATGTGACAATATATTTGTATTTTCTAGACACGTTCTCACTCCCAACTGCTCAAATATTGCTGCGTGATCGTAGGGCACGCTTCAAACTAGGACGCTGTAGGTAGTGCTCACACATACACAGTCAATGTAGCAACAATTAATCATCATCATCTGGTTAGACTTCAAAATAAAGCTTGCTGAGAAATATTTCACATGGTATGACTTTAAACTGTCGCCGTTTGATTAGGTTTGATTACGTGTTTTTAGTCATAAACAAGTAGTGTTTATGACTAAAAACACTTACGTGTTTAAGTTCCACTGGAGTGAAATATGTGAGTGTGGGGAAAAAGAGAAAAGAACGATACTTACCTTGTCCTCCAGTTTGCATTACAGAGCAATTAGCTTCCTTGGTACTCAAAGAAAGGGGTTATTCCATAATGTTTAGGGGTCCTTGAAGCCAAGATATCCTGACTTCTAGTTTGCATCAAGATCCATAAACACTTCCTGTCATGCAATTTGATAACATCTCCGTGTCTGGCATCTTTAAAACTCCACATTCCCAGTTAATAACAAAGCCTTTCTCGTATAAGTCCAAGCAGGAATAACCCACGATGACAATAAACCTTACATAAAAAACATAAAACAATATTTCAATTTGTAGTTATTGAACTTCCTGTTTTCATTCTGATAAAGTTTAGTGGATAGAGTCCAAGATTTTATGGTTTTATACCTGACAAATCCTGATATGTGGTATATTGCCAGTAAACCAAACCCTCCCTGGGAAACACTGCAGCCCGAGAATGAATCTGTTTTGCTTGGAAAGCGCACTTAATGGAGATACAAGGTTTTCCCCAGACAAAGCAATTGAGTCGACATTTCAGGTGCCATGAGGGAGTCAGAGCGTTTGCCAGCTGGGCAGCCGCTGGCCTCAGTGTGTGCTGGCAGGGTCTGAAGTGTGTGTGTGTTGTGTGTGTAATGGGCTGGACAGAGCCAACATGCCTGAACAGCAGCAGCTACAGATACTGAACACACACCAGTGCTTCCACAACACAACACAAACACATGGAAATCCTGTCTGGAAAAATAAAATGGATCAACACCTGCACAGGAATTCAGATACACAAACTGAAACATGGATGTCTTTATAAGTGGAGGCAGGTTTAAAGGTTTTCAGGTTCTCAACCCAATCATTGTGTGAGCTGATGAACTTATAACATATTGTATGGATATTTTGAATTATACTCAATGTATAACAATACCAGTAAAGAACAGCTGATAAATTATACAATGAACCCAAACAGTGAACTCAATAACTGCAAGAAGTTTGTGTAAAACGAGTGATTTGGATGAATTCTGAGCAGATTATTTCCTGCGAATATTGATTGGAAATTAGTTTTTTATACAACTCTCTGTCTGCATTATGTATTTTTCATTTTTCAGAAACCATTCAGACTTAATCAGCTTCATTTTTAACAGATTCAGTGTTTTCTTCTCATCTTCTCGTTTTGTAATGCAGGACGAGGCTGTTTATCAGAGAGTGAAGACCTAGATCTTAAATGATAATCTAAACATTCATTCAGTTTTCTCGAAACAAAATGCTGAGATATAGACCTATAGTGTTGATTTTGCAAGATTTCTTACACCCATTACCCCTGTGAAGCTTTGGCGACCACTAGTGGGGGTCCCGACCCCAAGGTTGGGAACCACAAACAACTCAGACAACAGACAAACATAATACAAACATGATAAAGGATAAAGATGAAAGTAAAAGTGCTATAGGCTCTACATTTTTCTAAGAAAGATCAATAAAGTAACACTTAAATGAAAGATAAAAATGCAGATAAAAACAAGAAAATGTGATGTCAATGTCAACTTCACTGTGGCTCTAAAGAAAGTCACAGGATTGTCAAAGAGGTTCATCATTTGTTGAGTCTGAACCAAAGTAATCGACGAGCTACCAACCGTCACTGCCGTTCCTGAAGCCGTAGGGTGGCTAATAACGTCCACACAGACCACAATGTCGCGCATTAATTAATTAGTAAAAGAACGAGGACTTGTGGGGCTTAAAATCTGAGAATATGTAGACAAATTTTAGCCAATTTGTGCTGAGATTTCTAACCCACTTAACTCTTTCTTCTCAACAGACAATGAGAACGCCAAGCCCGATGGGAAGCCGGGTCACCAATCAGAACGCAGCGAGGACCCGGAGGCCGACAGCAAGCGTCAGCAGCAGCCCGGCCAACCACACTGCTCCTCTGAACAGGAAATGAAGCGTCAGGAAGAAGGAGATAGCTCAAGTAACCCTGAAAGCCAGGACAGCGACGACAGTCTGGAGCCTTCAGATGGCGAGGGGGAGGAACAGGAGGAGGCAGCGGGGGGAGGAGGAGGAGGGGGAGGAGGAGGAGGAGGTGGAGGAGGAAGGTTGGGGAGGTTAGCAGGACTGGGAGGGTTAGGCGGACTGGGGGCCATCGGAGGACTGAGTAATCTGGGTGGGCTTCATATTAAAGTAGAGCACTACGGAGAAGGGGAAGAAGTACAGCTGCACAACTCGCAAACTTCTTCATCAGAGGAGGAGGAAGAAGAGGAGGACGAGGATGACGACGAGGAAGAGGACGGAGGCGTGCAAGACTGCGACGGTGCCAGCGCCGGAAACAAGCTCCAGAAGAGGCGGAAGAGGAGGAAAGTGCAGAAATGGGACGGATCCCGAAGCAGGAGGCTCCGTCTCTCCTCAACCACGCCCAGCCCCGTCGCCATAGGAGATACGGCGCCGCTGGTTGACCCCTCCCAGGCCACGTCTGCCAGCTCCTCACACCTCCTCACCTCCTCTGGATCCCCAAACAGCGCAGCATCCTCGGTCCTCAAAATCAAGACGGAGATGGCAGAACCGATCAACTTCGACAACGACAGCAGCATCTGGAACTACCCGCCCAACAGAGAGATCTCCAGGAACGAGTCCCCGTACAGCATGACCTCCAAGCCGGCCGCTCCGGGGAGCCACGAGACCTTCCCCTCGCCCCAGGGAGGCTCCCTCCAGGTTGCCATCCCCGACTCCGTCCTCACCCCTCCTGGAACCGAAGGAGGAGCGGGAGGAGTGAGGAAGCCTCCTTACAACGGAAGCTCTGCCCCATCTTCTGCTTCCAGTGCCACAAGTTTAGCTCCTCCCTCCAGCGCCTCCTCTGCCGACCCCTTGTCCCCTCCTCTGTCTGCCTCACCACGAGACAAGCAACAAGGCACGCCCACCACCTCCTCTTCTTCTTCTTCTTCCTCATCCTCCTCCTCGTCCTCATCAACCTCTTCATCCTCACTGCTGTATTCCGGCGATCTGGAGGCGCTACAGCGTCTGCAGGCCGGTAATGTGGTGCTCCCGTTGGTCCACCGGGTCACGGGAACTCTGGCTTCCACTAACACGACGGCTCCACGGGTCTACACCACCGGGACCATCAGGTACGCACCGGCGGACGTCACCCTGGCCATGGCGCAAGGCAACCTCCTCCCCAACGCTGCCATGAACTTTGTCGACAGCTCGGGATTCGGCCTGGACCCTAAGACGCCCATGGAGATGCTCTACCACCACGTCCACAGGCTCAACATGTCGGCAGCTGCCGCCGCTGGCCCCTTTGTCGGATCGCCGGCCGTCACGGGCGCCAACGGTGCCCTGGGAGGCCAGATGCCGACCGCAGCCAACGTTTTCACCACAGCGGAGGGACTCTTCTCAACGCTACCGTTCCCGGTATACAGCAACGGGATCCACACCACGCAGACAACCCTGGAGAGGAAGGAGGATTAACGCAAAACGTTCAAGACCGTATTACTGTGTTTCTGGAATCAACGACTGTGTCAAAGTAAAAGACTACTCACTAGTAAAAAAGAATGAAAGACTATTTACTTGCTATCTTTTGTCAACACAGCACTGTGTTTCCAAGAGGGGAGAAAGGACAGGAAAGGATGACAAATGTACTCTAGCACTTTGAATCTGAGCAACTGAGCTTGTGTAATAGACATGAATGACCCTCAAACATGTCCCCCTTTTCTATCTTTTTTCTCTCTCCTCATCCTCCTCCTCTCCTCCTCTCTCAGTCTCTCTCTCTCTCTTTGCTCCTGTTTTCTTGCGATCAGCAATGATTTTCTCTTGAACAAATGAACAAAAACAAAAAACAGACTATTCTTTATTGTAAAGAATTCCTTTTTTGCCTACAGAGAATTCATATTGCCTAAGGACTCCGCTGGAGCCTGATGGGGATAATTTTTATTATTTGACTTGTTTCTGTTGCGTCTTTATGAAGATGCTGATTGTGTGTATTTAAAGGAGGACGGTACAGGGATTTGTAACGGACAGAAAACTCTTACGTGACGCTCCTCCGTATGTATCTTGATGTGATCAAGGTTTGAAAAGAACGTTTTTAAATCCGAGGAGAGGGAGCTCTCTTGCAAAGGTCTCAGAGGTAATAATCTTTTGAAAAAAGGTTTTTGAGGACGTTTCTCGATTGAGGGAATAGTTTAGAGAATTAATGCTGTTTTTTCTTTCATTTCTTCCTTTTTTTATAAAATATTCTAGCTCAGATTTAACTTACGAATCAAGCATTAAGGAGAAAAACAAAAAAAGCAATTTCAGCCGGGTAATGACCTGTGAATTATCGAATGTTACTACTTCCTCTTTTATCCCAGGAGTTTACCTACAGGTCTCGCACCAAACATAACCTCCTCTACATCTCTTCTCCCCATCTCAGATCTGTCGTTCTCTCTCTCTTACCTGTCATACTACCTGATCTTTAATCTTTAAACCGTCTACATTTCTACCTGTCGATCTACAGACTCATGGTGCTACCGGCCGTCCAGTAACCCTGATTCAGCTGGCTGATGTGGGTGCTGTAAACGAACCCACAGCTCGTTGACAGACTGATCGTGTGTTTTTTTTTTCTTTGCGTTTTCGGAGGGGGAACTGTTTTAAAGTTGATTTTCTCATCTGACCTTCAGGAAAGTCAGAAACACAGCAAGAACCTTAGAACCTCTAAATCAGCAACATCTCCATGTTTCACCCTATATGTCCCTCCTTTGTTTTTGTCTTAAAAGACCCATAACCTGATTGGGCCATGAGGGGCAGCTCTGCATGGCAACATGGAGTTGATTGGTTGAATTTTAGGCTTCATAGTGATTTTATTTTTCTGTATTTTCTAACTTAATCACTTTTAATTCTCAGTGAGACTGAGGCTAATACACTAGTGTCACTAACTTGAAAAATGAATGTTGAAAACCTCGACCGGCTCCTGTTTTTTGATCACTTATTACTTATTTTGTACTACTTCCTCCTCCTCCTCCTCCTCCTCCTTCTTCTTCTTCTTCTTCTTCCTAAACCAGAATCACCTCCACAAGATTTTCCTAAAACAATCCACTCTCTTCCATCTCATCGCCGGACCCTGTGATAAAAAAAAAAGAAACACATATCAACAAGGAGATTGTAATAAATATAAAGACATGCATTTTCAATCAACCAATCAAACAATCAATCCAATAAACTACAAAAAAAATATGAATTTTTTCGAGGAAGAGAAAAAAAAATCACATTCCTTTAAACAATGTCGTCTTTGTCGTTGTTCTTTGTGTTTCTCCCCCCCTTCCCCCCCAGCCTCCGTTGCCAAAAAAGAAAGTTTGGTGTTTTAAAAAGCACTGTGATTCTCGTTCATTTGTAAGATTTTTTTTTCTTCTACTTTTTTGGTAAAAAGAGAAAAAAAGATGAGAACAAGTAATTAAAACGGTAAAAAAAAAAAACTGTCACGACATCCATCTTTTTAAAGTTGACAGCCCCGTCTTTAACCATCCCGTCATCCTTATTACCCAGTGTGATTAAGCCGTAAAAAACGTGTTACCAATGTGTTTAGTGTCACTGGCTGTCAAAAAGTCTTTCATGGCGACTTCTCTCTCTGTGTGTGTTGACTATATGCAGTATATACTGAGCTACTGTAGCTGTTTTTGTCCTTTGTCTTCTCTGTGCTCTCTCTAGTGTGGGGGTGGTGGAGGGGGCGGGGCTTAGAGGGGAGAGGGGCGGAGTCTAGCGACGACCGGCGACTCCTGTTTCTCTCTCTCTCTCTTGTCCCCGTCTTTTTCCCTCTCTGTCTCCCTCTATCTGCAGTCTTAGTGAAACCAGTGGAGGTTTGTGGAATTTCGTGTTCGGTGGCCTTTGCAAAAAACAAAAAAAAATTTGTAGAGTCCACCTTTTTTTTCGCTGCTTCCTTTTTGTCTTTGTAAAACCTCTTTTTTGTTTTTCGTTTTGGTTTTTCTAATCCTTCTCTCTCTTTCTCTCTCTCCGCTATTGCTTTTTGCTGTTGTGTAGTCTTATACAAACCTCTTTATCTTGCTGTCCTTTCTCTCAGAGATGAAAAAGATTCTTTAACTAGCTCAAAGGTTTATGGAGCCATGTTTTTTGCCGCTAAGGAATTCTGGGAATCGCAGTTTCCGGCTCTTGCGTACAAAGTATTTGAATAACTAATAAATATTTACACTATATAGAAGTAAATTATGATGAGGAAAAGCCTAAAGTAGCATTTTAGACCTGGAAAAACCATAAAAGCCTCAGTTGTGAAACATTTCCCAGAGTCCCTTGGGGCTTCTTGTGTGCATTGGGTGTATTTCATTGGTTCCCACCAAACTTGTTGACAAACAAAGTTACACAAGTGGTTCAAGGGGGGAGAAAAAAAAAAATCACAGTACTATTTCAGGACACGTAATAAAAAAAACGGTTTTAAAGATTTCTAAAGAAATTAAAAGAAGAAAAAAATATTTCGCACTATAAATCTATTTTTATAGGTGTTTTGGAAAACTGAAGTGCATGTTTAGTAAGTTCGTCCGATACGTTTCACGTGATCGATCCCTCGTTTTTTTCTTTTGTTTTTGTTTCTGTTTTTTCGGTCCAGCGGTTTTTGTGTTTTTTAAGTCTGTCGAGCCCAAACGGGGGACGCGATGGAGGCCCGTTGGAAGAATAAAGTCTGTATTGTCAAAACCGACCCGGGCCTCTAATCCCGACCCCCCTCTACACATCAGGAAAAACAATCTGTAGCGTCTGTGCTTTCTGTGAAGAATCAATGTCTTGTTACTGCGACTAACAACAAAAAAAAAACTGGTTATGAAATTACGAAACGGCGGATTTATTTATTTTTGTGTTCAATAAGAAGAATGTGATCCGGGGCCGCTCGATCTGTCGCTCGATCTGTCGGCGGGTCGTTCGCGGTTGAATGTTTAAATTCAGTCGTTTCAGGAGCATTTTGTTTCCGCGCTCCTCTGGATTTTTTCTACTTTTTGGCGGTTTTTGCGTGAAAACGGGAGGCGGGGGCACAAACGAATGGCAGGACCCCGTTTTAGGTAAAGAAAATGGGATTTTAAGAGGGGTTGGGGGCAACATAACTCAGATGAAACCAGGAAATACACCCACATGTAACAAAAACCAAACAGCCGGTCCAAGCTGTTTCAATGTTTTTTCTGTGTTTTATGTCGAAAAATGAAAACTTTGCTGGTGATTTTAAAAACGTAAAAACCTTAATCACAGCTGCTGTCAAAAATACATAGTGTTTAAGAATTACAAATATTGAAAAATCACTTCATTTACCTGTGAAGAAACTGTGTCTGTGTTTTTAACTATTTCTTGTACAATTATACAGATTCTTTTATGAGGAACTTGGTGCCAAGTAGCTGAAATACGGGAGAGAGGGAATCTCTTATTATCAATGTTAACAGTGTTATAAAATTCTAAATACAAACAAATTAAAATATTAAAAAAGAGAAAACTATGGTACATTTCTATTTTTTGTTTTGATTTTTTTTCCTCGCAGAAGAGGGAAAAACACATGACTAACTGATGCTAACTTTGAGTGCCTGGCTTATTTTCTATTATTATTTTCTATTATTATTATTATTATTATTATTATTATTATTTTCAAAAGACATCTTTTTGAGTTAATTTACCACGAATAATGCTGCAAATCCGAAAATGTACATACTTCATTTTTATAGCAGTTGTTCTTTTATAAGTTTACTAGGTTCTCATCCGTTCAGAGGAACATGTCACATACATGGTTGTCTTTCTGTAACCCGGTTTTGACCATCTTACAGGTGCCATATTCATAATAAAAATTTCTCTCGAATTTGTTACCAGATTGCATCATTTCTTCTGTTTTGACACATTCAGCCATCCCGCCCCCAAATGCTGTCAGTTTTTATAGTCGTTCAGCTTTCTTTCTCTTCTTTCTTCTGCTTTCTGTTTGTTTTCTGGTTAGAGAGATTGACCAGGGAGAAGACCGGGGCCTTGTGACAACAAGTGTGGTGTGAGCTTTATTTTAGTTTAATTTGCAGGCCACTATCACAGCAGAGTCCTGGTACATCTGGAAATGTTAGTTCTCCAGTCATGGAAACACCTGGAAATGAATTAAAATGAACACATATGAAGTAAAACCAGACGCAAATTAGACTTGCATCGATCTTTTCACTGTCAAGTCAAATATTTTCCATAGCAGAGCGATGTTAATTATATGTGCAACTATCTAGAGGGTAAAATAAAATTCTGTTTGATTTGAACTGCTACTGCAGTGGTTGAATTAATGTTAAGGTTTGATGAAAAGTGTAGTCTATTTGCTGGAGACCACTCCGGTGAGACCACAGCAGAAACATAAAAGCAAGCTAACGCTGAGTGTCCCATTGACACTGAGGACCTTTGACCGTCAATTATACGACTGTTTGTGAGCAACTGTCCTGTATTGATTTTAAGACGTGCTAGAAAACTTTAAAAATATACACAGTACGATATCTCAACATTTCATTCATTTCTGTGAAGAAAAATTAATGAAACTTATTTTTAAAGTTTAGATTACGCTGTAAAACCAGATGAGTTAATTTAACTCAAAAAACCTTTGAAACAGATTTTTTTTTTACTCAATTTGGTAAGTTATTTTTAATTTTAAGTGACAGACTATATTTAAAAATATTTATATCAGGTTTTGAATATAATATGAATAGAATTCTTTTTTTTTTTTGTTAAAATAACTGTAGCATTACAGTGTATTATTTAATATATAAAGTTTGATGACACAAGCTGTATTAGAACAATGGCCGAGTAACACGGAGAAGAAAATTGGTCCAAATGATTGTTAAAAATAAATAGATAAATAATACAGACAGAGGATTGTATAAAAATATAAGAAATATTCCTCCCTGATGAAGTATTCACAGGAAATAATCTTAAAATAATGCCAA